AGTAGCAGCAGCAGCGGGACTAATAGCAGTAGCAGTCGCGGTAGTAGTAGCATGTAGTCGTGGTAGCAGTAGCAGTAGTAGTAGTAGTAGTAGTAGTAGCAGTAGTAGTAGTAGTAGTAGTAGTAGTGGTGCTAGTCGTGGTAGCAGTGGTGGTGCTGGTGGTTGCGGTGGCGGTGATGTTGGTGGTGGTCGTCGTGTATGTCTGTGTGTATGTCTGCATGCGTAATTCTGCATACATATATATATATATATATGTTTATATATATATGTTTATATATATATATGTGTACGTATAAATATATACATATATATATATATATATGTTTATATATATATATATATATGTGTATGTATAAATATATACATATATACATATATATATGTGTATATATATATATATATATTTATATTATACGTACATACATACACAGGTGTAGATAGGTACACTGCTTACCAAATTAACCCTCAAGACCCCGAGCCTCAAACCCTGAGCCCTTCATCGGGGAATCATGCAGATCCCTGGCCTTCATCAGCTCAAAGAGCTCTCTGGAATACTGGTGGGCTTCATTCTGTATCGCCCGGTAGGTGGGGCACGTCCTCCGAGCCGACTGAGATCTTCGAACGTTAGGGCCCAAGGGAAGAAAGACTAAAGCAAAAGGGGCACAAACGAAACCCTAAACCCTAAACCCTATAAGCACTATAAGCCCTATAAGCCCTATAAGCCCTATAAGCCCTATAAACCCTATACACCCTATAAACCCTATAAACCCTATAAACCCTATAAACCCTAAACCCCTAAGTCCAGGGTTTCTGGCCTAGGGCCTAGGGCCTAGGGCCTACTTTGGGGAGCTTGGGGGATTAAGACTGTTGGAGCTCGAGGCCCAGAGCTTCTTTGGTAGAGGGGTTTAGGGTCCAGGATTTAGGGTTTAGGGTTTGGGGGCGAAACGGGTTTGGGTGTATACTGAGGCGTAAAATAATGGGCAGGGACTATTTGGGGAGACCATTACGGATAGCTCGGTCCCCATTTTTTTGGGGTTCGGGAGGTTGAAGGCTTCGTGGAGGGAGAGGCGGGGCTTTGGCCCCTTTCTTTACGGGCCCTTAAGACCCTAAACCCTAAACCCGAAAGCCTAAACCCTAAACCCTAAACCCCTAAACCCTAAACCCTAAACCCTAAACCCTAAACCCACATGGCTCTCAAGGTTCACGGCTCAGGAGGGAGGCTTTGGGGCTCTCAAGGGAGGCTTTGGGGCTTAGGGCCAAAGGGTTTTGGGGTTTAGGGTTTATTTCGGGGTTTAGGGTTTAGGATTTATTCGGGGGTTTAGGGTTTAGGGTTTATTTAGGGGTTCAGGTTTAGGGTTTTTTCAGGTGTTTAGGGTTTAGGGGTTTAGGATGTAAGGTTTGGAGATGATGCTTCGGGCTGAGTGCTTGGTGATACCGAGGCGCTTTTGATCCTATCACCGGATGTAGGGTTTAGGGTTTGTTTTTAGCCAAAATGTGCAAAGCCACCAGTCGAGCCAAGCTGAACTTGAGGTTCGGGGATGTTCATCGGCTTAGGGTTTAGGGTTTTTTCTGAGGCTACGACGTTACGACTACCTGCACAGAAGACCCCGAAAGCCCAGACCTAACCCCGGAGAACCCCCAACACCCCGAAATTCAGGACTAGATTTTAAGCGAACAGGGGCTGAATATTGCGACTTTACTTTTGGGCTTAAGGTTTAGGGTCGTGGTAGGGCTCTCTGGGATTAAGACCCACCGTCAATCGAGAAACATTGACAGCCCAAACCCGACAAGGCAGCCGGTTATGATAACCTTTACTTGCCGGCTATCCACGAATGACCGCCTGCCACACCTAACCCGCGAACCTTATGACAGGAACGCAAAGCCCCTTAAGAACCAGAAAAAAAGCCCTGATAGATCTTCGGAGGCTCGTATAGAACCGTTACAATACCCTGAAAATCCCTGAGAGCCCTACAAAGCCCCTCGTAAACCCAACAGAACCCCAATAGACTCTGCAAGAAACCGATCAAGATGCTTTCGATTTTCAGCCCCCCTATGGAACCCTTGCGAGGCCTACAAAAAACCCTTGAAATAAAGCTGAGGTTTGGGTTTGCACGACCGAGACCCTGATTTCGCCGAACCGTTTGTGAGCCTGTACTGCTCTGTTTCCTTCTGTTTCCCATTCTCACACGCTAAGGCAGCCTGCAAAAAGAACATCGCAATGGAAAGGGGAGCAACACAGTACGAAGAACCTCAAGTAAAACAGCTGTCAAGAGATGCACGCACAAAACCAAAACGCATCTTCAAAACCAAAAACTCTAGAATCCGCATCGTATAAAAAGAATAGGTAGATGTAATACCCTAAACCCTAAACCCTAAACCCTAAACCCTAAACCCTTATTAACAGATCATGAGAAAGAAGACTGCGTCCGAGGAGCCAGAGGGCCATGACCTCCGGGGACTGTGAGATTCCTGCCAGCCCCAGCTCCTCGCGCCTCGAGGGTTTAGGGTTTAGGGTTTAGGGTTTAGGGTTTAGGGTCTAGGGTTTAAAGGTTTAGGGTCTAGGGTTTAGGGTTTAGGGTTAGGGTTTAAGGCTTAGGGTCTAGGGTTTAGGGTTTAGGGTTTAGACTTGACTGCCGAAGTTTAGGGAATTAATGAAGGTGTCTTGCTAATACAGGGCATACGAACCTCCGGGGATTTTACAAGGATGTAGTGTGTAGGGTTACACCAAGCTTCCGCCAGTGGGACCATGCGCTTGAACATGGACATTGGTAAGGTGCGAGCAACCAAATTGGTGTCAATTACTCTACTTTGACCATATCACCCTAAACCCTAAAACTCTACTTGAAGCATATAACCCTAAGCCCTAAACATGTAGTTTAACCATATAACTCTCAACCCTGTTAACTGCACTTTAACCACATAACCCTAAACCCAAAAACTGTACTGTAACCATATAACCCTAAACCCTAAACCTGACCCTTGACCTACGGTTGATGATACAAATCCTGCATTACCCATCATAAAAAAAATATACCATAATTCCCATAGTTTACGGTCCTGAAGGTAATGCAGGATGTATGTCATCAACTGTAGCAATGTCCCTAAACCCTAAACCCTA